CTTCTTCGATTCGTATATAATACTTAACGCTTTTAGTGCGTATTCAATTTTAATTGAATTCGAATTTTTCGATCTTCTTCAAATGTAATTCGAGAAATTAAATATACTGTCTTTCTTCTTGCGAATCTCAAATTGCCAATGGCTATGCAATTTGTTATGACGCGATACCGTAATTGAGCGATCGACGAGTGTCTTTCGCAGCGTACTTACAAGTATAACCTTTATACCTGCGGTCCGCCGCTTCTGTTCCATCTCCATCGTTTTCCTCATTCTTCGGTCTACGTGGGCACGCAAACGACGTAATGGAGTGGCAACGAAGTAAAATGATTGGAGAAACTGTATCACTTACGACCGCGAACGGATGTAAAACGCGCGCGATTGATCGGGATAACGAGCGACGACGGGGATGGCGAAATGGACGGGAGGAGGACTCGAGGACGAGCGCCGCGGAGGCCCGTGGCTCCATCTGTCGGCCGGGGAGGTGGTACTCGCGTTGCGTGCTATTCCCCTTCGACCTCTGTGCAGTGCGCATCATTTCATCGTGGAATAACCGGCGCGTTTTAAGGAATGCATGTGGCCTACACAACAAAGTTGAGGAAAGGTCACGAAGCGTGTGGGTTGCGCAATTACTTTTCATCGCGCGAGCGTAATTGCGGAACCCGCGCGCGTTCGCGGTAGGAAGAAAAAAAGGTAGGAGGAAGAAAGGAAAGACGGAGACGGGAAATATATTCTTTGTACCCGTTTCCCCGAGTCTTATGTTAAACGCAAACGAGGGTTCTGTGAGGTAATTTCGCAGCCGGGGGGCTGCTCGAGCGAAGCTCCTTCGGGACGGCGCCGTCTCCGAAAGAGGAGCGGAAAACGAAACAATAATGAAACCCTTTGCCGAAACCCGATACTCAATTCTATTACAATGATCCGAAAGGGCTACTAGTGACACGCTACATTTACCTGAAAATTTTCTTATTCACAGATAAAAAGAACTGAAGAAATTACGATTTTTTTTTTCTAAAGAAAAGAGTTCAAGATTGTACATATTCCATCTGTAGAAAAATTGTTCTTGGAGAAAGTATTCAGAAATGTGAACTTCTGAATAGAAAAGATATTGAAAAAAAGCCTTTGCCAGAGCGGTCCTTTTTGCAGTTGTACGAACGGTTCGCGTACTTTTTAATTAGAGCTGAGCGATCTTCGATCGTAAAAAGCCGAGGTATTGATTAAGCGATTCGATGACCTCCATCAGCGCTTTATGATATTCCGAATTATTTCAACGTAATAAAAGTCCAACTATTATTTTACCGTCTTGCATCTCGGTCTCTAATCGAAAATTGCAGGCTAAATCTAGATTCCATGCACTAATAAAACAATATGAAAGAGAAATGTGTAATATTTACAAAAATAAATTTCGAAGTCTTAAAAAATTTATTTAATCTCTGATTGATATCGGTATTAACATGCAGATTGCCGCCGTTGTTTCATTTCTATCATTTTTTCCTGTCGTAAATAATAAATACCTTTCTCTTAATTATTTATTATGAAATAAATAGATATATACATATGGTTATTTGAGTTTTGAAAATTCAGTAGATATATGATAAAATTATTAATATTTGAAAATATTTAATGTTCTGTTGATGGACATTGGCTTAGTTATTTGAATTTGTTTGAGTATTCAGTATAGATATGTACTAAAATCATTAGACGTTTAAAAATATTCAATGTTTCATAGATCTTTTCATTTCTAGAAAATGACAGTGTAGGTCATGTAAAACGTAAAAAGCACACTAGGTATCTGTAGGTTATTGATGAACCTCAAAGGACCGGTTATATCATTACATTCCATGTCACTGAGGAAAAAGATGACTTTACAAAAATTCATTCAAAAATGCCCAGCGGTTCTTTTGATCACTTTTTATCCTTTTGGTTTCCATATGTTCTCCTGACCTGTATTTTTACTGTAGTTCCACAAGTCTTGTTAGATCCATATTTATGCTTTACCGTTAAAATAAATGTGCGCGCATTTGGGACATATAGTTTAGATAAATTAAATAAATTTACACATGTAGTTTACATATATTGTAGAATCTCAAAAATAAACGAATGCATTTGTTGATAAAAGTGAGGTATAAATACGGACCTTGTATTGTTCATCTATCATATCGTTGACAAAGGAACTCAATGACTATAATAACTATATAACAAAGAGAAAGCCGCACGTGCCATGTATGAAGAATAATTATTGATCAAATCCACATGTCGCTTCGATTGATGCAAATTTACGATTGTTTTATATTTCAAATTTGGTGACCGCATAACACCGCAGAGTAATGGAGATTCGATACGTCATTCGCGCTGACGCGGCTAATTTATTCGCCGTCGCAAATTCGCATCTTTCTCTGACGATAGGCGAAATTTTCAAACGACATGCGAGCAAGAGCGAATCTTGATTTCACACGCTCGAAATGTCGCTCGACACGCATACCGAAGGAAAGTGGCGCGATTTAGGTATGCACGCACGAGGGGAAAATCTCGGCGAGCGAGCGAACGTATCGAGCGTGATCGCTCATTACAAGCGCTGAATTTAATCGGCCATCAAGCACGAGCCGAGATCGCCATGCCGTCACGGTCGTCCCTCCAAGGACGTGTCTTGAGAGTCATCTCGTTACACGCGTTTACGTATAAGTGTGCGATTTACCCCGCGGTCTGGTCGAATCGTAGAACGGGGTAATACCGCGCATCGTGTGTAACGCAATCGTTTCAACGCGCAGCGCCGAGGATCGACGTCTCGCATTAAATGTCACATTCTAAATAGCGAGCCATTACGTAAAGCGAACCGCCGTAAATCGTTCTCCTTGATACAGAAGCGAAGCGTATCGTCGTCGCCGTCGCCCGTCGCAGTCCATGGGACTTTCCCACGTTTCTTGCTCGAAGAAAGTCACGAAAATGACTCTAATTCGCCGACATTAGGCCATCGCGGAGGAGAAAAAAAAAAGAGACATTAATCGCGACGAAAACGAAAGTTTTCTGGATCTTTTTTTTCCTTGTGCAGATTAATCTTACATAATAACGTATATCGAAAAATTAGGATATTTAACTGGTTCCCCCTTTTTTTGTGTGACATCGGCTACTTTCGAGAGAAAAGATTAGAGTCTTAGGCCTTCTACTATTACAGAAGGAACCAATTAACTCTAACGACAGTTACAAAACACGTATAGTTTTAATAAAGTAATTTGTAGCAGTTATTCTTGTTTTGTAGAAATTACATTACTATTCACACAAGAACAGAATTTGTTTCTTTTTTTTTAGGATATTCCAAATAAATCCTTTCGATAAATAACAATATTTGCATTGTGCTTTTCATACTTTTTAATCTTAAACATTGACTTTTCTCAGCGCCTGAAAAACTATAATCCGCAAAAAAGGGACTCACAAATCCTTTCTCTCAAATAATAAGGAAAACAGCTTATCGATATCACAAAACTTTGAGATTCATAGTCACAAGTGTCGCTATGTGTCGCAGGTATGCAGGTAGAAGGCTAAGAGGTGACGCGAGGAAAGGAGTAGGAAAAGACGAGAAGAGAGGGATACCGATCTGAGGCCCCTCCCTCAACCCCCACCGTGCATCGGAGAAGGATTATCCGGTCCCTCAGCAGGATCCCCACCAAGTGGTCTGACAGGACCCCACAACCCACCTGTACCAACTCCGGCTAGACTGTGCATGCTTCTCCGCTGATCCAGCGCACAGTATGCCCATAAGGCCCATTCGAGGTATACTTACGAGAGCGCACGAGCGTGCCGCGCGCGGCAAACGAGCGGGCGAGCGAGCGGAGAACCGATCGGGCAGTCGAAGTGGGACCGCGGAAAATAAACGTGCAGAAGTGGGGGTCGATTCAAGAATCGATGTGGACACCCTCGCCTACCAAAGTCATTCACCTAACGGTCATCGGCGCGTCAAGAGTCTTCATCTTCTTCCGTTATCCGGTCTTGTGCCAATCGCGGAGGCTCGCGATCGGTTCGCGACCCGTTCACGTGAAAGAAGTCGCGGCGGGGCGTGAGTAGAAGGTACGGACATTTCGGCTAATTCGCAAGAAAAAAAAAAGAGTGGTGATTTCTCGGAGGACTCAATTACGAGTACCGAATAGTGATTGGCAGAAAGTTATTAGGTCGATTACGACGGGAGACTTTTTCTCAAAAACGTATACACATCCCAGTGAAAATGTATTCCCTAGTGTGTGACTGACTGTGCGGTTTTGTGTCATTTTTCTTCTACCTGTCCGGCCGAGGACAATGGACCAGATTTTGCCAGCTTTTTGCAAAATGGCGAGAAGTGTCTCGGGAGACGTATCCTCGGAAAACAATTGTGACACATTGGAATGCTCTATCTGAAATCGAGTCGCCGCCGAATGCTGCTCATCGTATCTGTTGCACTACGTTAATTCATCATAATAATAAAAGTACGTAATATTTTGTGTGATAATCTAGTCGTTTGAAAATTGAATTAAGCATCGATTTGTGTGTATAGACATGCAATTTTGAAATGCAATGTTTGCCAAAGCTTTTAACGCGATATCTTCGTCATTCTTGAAAACGTTCTTCAGAAACATCAGTCAAATAACGCGTAACATCGGAAAATTAGAATGATTCAGAAGAGGGTAATTTGATGCCACGATCGTAACGCGATGTCGTTCATTTTAGCATAAAAATATATCCAATTAACTTTCAACGCGCGTGTTACCGTGTGTTCAGTGCAATAACTAATCTATTAGATGCACTTGTGCTCGGGAATCGTATTTGATGCAGTCTTAATGATATCGAACCGTGTAATTTCGCGCCTTTCATGCCTCGGAAACGACAGTGCGATCGAGCACGCGAGAGCGATGAGAATCCGCCAGGGAATCGGTTCGTCGCGGATTAGGCACCGCGATGAGTTTTCGGTCGCGGCTCGTCAGCCCTGATGGACGCGCGCGCGCGCATTTGCCGGCCCCGCGCGTCTTCGTAAACCGTGGAATTTATTCGCGGCATCGCGCCGCGACGAATCGTCCGTGCGCGTTCGATCGAGGGTCCCGCGATTACGACAATAGAATCGGAAATAGCGCCGCGCGCTCGATGCGTTGCGTCCGCGCGTCGCGTCGCGCGCGCAATGCGAAGGCCGATCGGCAGAACGCGCGTTGCGGAACGCCGCTCCGTTTCGAAAGAACGGAAGTTATTATTTGCAAACTGGAGCCGAGATGAGGTTGCACGATGCCGGGAGTCGCTTCCCCGCGGGATCGATCGATCGTCCCGATCGTCGGATTAATTCGCGCGAATAGATGCGCAAACGATCGAAATGGTGGTATTGCACGAAAGCGAGAAGAATCCGGCCGTCGGCCGCCGCCGTCGGCTTTGGTCCATCCAACGCTTTGATATCGAGATGAGATGAGCCTTTTGGCGGTTTGGCAAAAAGAAAAAAAAAGAAAGCGACACTAGGACTAAGAATCGCAATATTTTGTATCGTGAAAGTTGTAACTGCAAGTTGTAAAATCATAAAGAACCCTTCGAATTTATCCTTTCTCATAAAATTTCTCTATGTTTAGAACAGAATGCAAGAATTGGCAAAACTTTTCACTATCGAGAAAGAGTGAAGCGAAAATGTTTTTGTACCGTTAAAAAATACCCGTTCAGGCAATTTTTTTTTATATAGGAAGAGGAACACTTCCTCTTTCTCCGAAAAAGTAATGGGTTTAAAGTATAAGGAACAGTCGTCCATAACGTAAGAATTGAAAGGCAATTAAAACCGTTATGCTATTGTTATGCACTCTTTAGAAATGTGCACCCTTTATTTTTCTGTTTTTTAACCTTTTTTAATTTGGAGTTTTTTAACCTTTCTATTTCCGTTACACATGCCATTAATCTCGACACAAAAAGGGCTATGAATTATGCGTATTCCGTTATTTGCCGTTATTTCTCAGCTTGTACAGAAAAAGCCTTTCTTTTTCTCTTCGTGTAAGACGATAAAATTAGATTTATTAAATCCATCTTTTCGCTTTAGCCAAACCAAGTGAACAAAATTTCAAAGTTAATAACGTAGAGGCAATTTTTTTCTTTTACAATCATGTTTTTCGTCTCTCTTTCGGGTAGTTGCCTCATACCTTTGGAATTCCCTGAAATTGTGTAGTCTACTTCAGTCTTCTTCCGTAATTCTGAAGTATCGACACTACTACCACCGCGAGATGCAGAGCATATAGACTGGCTGATTACAGTTTTATTTCTTTTTTTGATGGGCATTCCTCTGTGCGACTTTGTTGTCACACGCTACGGAATTACAATCGTAATAATTATTGTGAGCACGAAATTTTGTTTACTCGATTTGTTAGAGTTCACTGCGCTTCGACGTTTAGTTTAGCGTGAAAACGTAGACCGTTATGTAATATTATTTCTACTTAAAGCAGTTTTTTTTCTGTCTTATTATCGCCTTCCCTTTCGCAAGCGTATGCGACTCAATTAAGTTACAAGTTTTGAATAAATTTAGATTAAATTTTTCAATTTGATGCTATGCGTCTAAAAGGATCTCGATATTGAGATTAAAAGTAAACTCTACTCTCCTTTTCGATGGAAAAATCCTTTTTTTTTTATGAAAGATATAGCGGGTGGTTGATAAAATTGGAGCTTAGGAGAAAAGAGAACAAACGCGACGCGATTCGCAGAAATTACGACGATCGATCGCTTTGCAAATATCTTGACAGATGTTCAGCTCGCAGCAGCCTCAACGCATTATCAATGATTATCGGGCGGAGATTTTATGCGCGGGAGTACGTTACGATTCTCACGGCTCGCCTGGACCCGCTTGGCTCAACAATTGCACGCGGTCCACCAAGGTCAAGCCTCGTGGCGGTCTCCCCGACGATCTGGGCGATGATCGTTGCCGCCGAGATCCGCTGGTGGCGATAATATGTATCGAGTCTTGTCGCCGTATGTCAAGAGCATCCTTACGTCCGCGTAAGCAGACCGCCATCGTCGTTCGACGCAAATCGAGGATATCCAGATGGTTTACACTGCCAGAGATCGGATTCACATGCTCGTGCCCGGGCATTGTGACGGGTCTCGTTATGATTGGCATAAAGAAAAAAAAAACGAGTCGAATTCTCTCGTTGCCCCGAGGAAACGTAGGATGGTCAGAAAGGAAGAGGATAGCACGATAATAGCTTGCAATCTTTAATCCAGCGTATGCGAAGTCGCGCGAGCTATTACGATTACCGAGCCGTGAATCAGCTATTTATATATACACGCGTCGACCGCGGCGGCCAAAGATCGGCATAACAAGTGCGCGGCGACCACTTATCGTCGCCGGACGTAATTGTAAAATTCCCGATTACGCCGAATAATTCTCGCGAAGCGAGATAGGTAGATATCTTCTATTAATCGTCTGGGTAAAACCAGAACGACGTCCACAGAAAGCATCGCGAATAAAAAACATTCGTGATCTTTCTTATCTATTTTCGTCGATTTTTTAATCGTCAAGTCTTTAAATATTTCTAATAAAAATCACTTACTTTTGCATAAATGTACTTGACAACCATATGTCAAATATGCCATGTATCATTGTTCCAAAAATTATTTTAAAAGTTATGTTATATTTAAGAATATTATAAGTAAATAACATGGAATATTAAATAATTTTGTAACGTAATAAATGTTTAAAAAAAAAGAACGTGGAACATGTGGAACGAGAATCTATAATTTAATGATCAATTTACACAAATATTAAATTATAATTTATAATCAAATAATTTTATTTTTTCCATTTTAATTGATTTATTAATTCGAAGCGTAACACTCTTATTTATTTATTTCTAATATTTTCAAATTATAATAGTCTAATTTTTTCATTGTTATAAAATATGTGGTTATTTATATTTAACGATTTCTTCCATTTCTACGCGGAATCTAATCTGTTAACCTCGTTTGATTTTATCTGACGACATTGTGTTGTGCTCTGTTGCGACACCTCGGCACGACAACAATATCATTTAAACATCGCAATTGCATCGGCACGGAACGCATTGCCGTGCATAGGAATCACCAAGTGAGACTTACCCGTTACCGGATGCACACCTCTAATCAACGCAGGTTGCCATTGAACAGGCGTCGTTGGACCTCTTATCTCGGTTTATCATCGGGCGAATATCATTCAGCTTCTATCTACGAAAAATTCAAGCAATTAGGCTTACAAAGCATGAGAAGCCTTGAGGCTGTCGCTAATGAAATTATACCGAATAATTTGACTACGATTGAGAAACGCTCGGCGATGTCGCTCGGTTTTGTCGGTCGTCGAGCGCCACCGAGCAAGTCGCGACACGGATACCACCGGGGTTTTTCGATGACGTTATAAAAATATCGCAAAACTGTGGCGACAGAGCGATCACGTAAGAAGAGATATCTGCGCCCCGAACGCGACTCGAAATAACAAGGAGAATAAATTATCAGGCGAGAAATGGATCTGTGCGTCAAACAGATCTCGGACCACCCGTGAAACGTCGCGGAAGCGATTGTTGCGTGACGCGGCGGGAAGTGTATGAATGCAAGTAAGACAAAAAAAAATACAAACACGGAATTGCAAGCACGAGCTGCGTATAGGTATGCCGCGACAGAAACGGCGGCATCCGCAAATGATAAGTGTCAACGACTGGTTGGGTGTAGGTCAGGAGAGACTCCGTTGATCAAACAACGTAAATGTCTCTTCCATTAGTTGAAATTTACTTTCCCATTTAGCGACAGTCTGCCACGTATGAAAGTCGCTGGAGGTTGCGCCCTCGGACCGCGGCAAACATCTGGGTCACCGCTATTGTCCCATATTCGTATTCGTCAAACATTTCGATAGAGAAAAAGAGCCGGAGGAATGTCGGAAACATGTTGCAAACGATCGAGCGCGCGCGAGTAAAGAGGGAAACGATGTATGAATAAAAAAGGTGGAGACAGGAGACGCGGAGAGAGAAACGTCATGGTAGAGGAGTCCATCCCGTCCGTTTCCGATCGCGCGGTATCGTTCCGCTGGCCTACACAAATGCACGTTGTGCAAGGGATCACGGCGTGAAATAAGAGCGACGAGGTGTGAAAACGAGACCGCGGAGCCACGGTCCGTTTTCTGGACGATCGGCCAAAGAAGGCGAAAGGAGCCGGTGGAGGAGCTCGATAGGAACGGGCGCGCGAGAGAGAAAGAGGGATACGGAGGGGGACGGAGACCGACGGAGAGGAAAAAAAAAAGCAAGCGCGCAAGAGTTTTCCGCTCGTTGAACGTAACACGCACCGCTTTGCCACGATCCAGCGATTCGCGCTCGCGCCGCACTGCAAAGCGGCGCATTATGCAACGCGCTTCTTCTCTTACCCAATCGTGCGCTCGATCGGTGTAGGCGCACGATAAAGATTGCATCGTCGACTTGTCAAAGATACCGCGCGTCCGATCTACTTTTCGTTTCCGTCGCGTAGGAAGCGACGACTCGATGGAAGAAGCGTCGCGCGCGCGCATTCGTTTCGTGGTGTCGCAAACGCACAATAGTTTCGATATACCTAATAGTCCGTTAGTTTCTAATATTTCCCAACAACGTTTTCTCATAAATCATAGAATTGCTCGGAGAATATTTAATACGAGAATGATGAATGTAATATAAGGGATTAACATAAGCGAAAAACTAAACGATTAAATGAATTGTTTAAACGCTGCAGGGCAAAGATGCTGAAAAAATTTACAAATCTTTCTATTCTCATCTTAACACTGTCCTTTAATATTATGAAGACAAATACATCTAGTAGTTAATTCAGATGGCATATTATATATAGTTATTTCGTTTATACAAGTGATAATTTTGGCTATCGCATGCGTATCCCATATATTACCGGGAAGAAATCTTGCAAGAAAATTTCTACATTCGGTTTGGAAAAGAGTCTGCATGGAAAACAGAATGATACCTAAATTTTCTGGAGTGAATCTCACTCCAGAAAATTTAGAGAGTACATAGCATATATCTTAAGAAAATCGCTGTTATAATTTGTGTTAATAACAATCAGACTTTACCTGCATCTGTGAGCCAATCCTACTTAGGGAATAGATAAATTATTAGATGTTCAAAATGGTACCGTCTGAATGACGAGATTTCTCTGGAGTTTTTAACAAACCATCAAAATTTTTCTCTGATGTAATTATCGAAGTTTCCACCATTGCGAAATGCAAAGTAATTCCAGTTTATCAAATGCATTCAGTCAAATACAACCGATTGTCTTCTGTTGCAGATGAACCAACAGTGCAAGGTGTGCGGCGAACCAGCGGCTGGCTTCCACTTCGGTGCATTCACCTGCGAGGGTTGCAAGGTGAGTCTTGCCGTCTAATTTTGAATCTCTTCCTCTCTCTCTCTTTCTTCTTTTTTGTTCTCTCACACAATTGCGCAAGAGCAAATTGAAAACTGATCAACGATGCGATTATATATAACGCGAATTTTCTAGTCTTATATTTAAATTTAAATCGACATCGCTACGGTTCTCGACAATATAAAAACTTACTGTTTTGCCTAAAACTATTACTTTTTAAATAGATACTTAATACCTATATATAATTGTATTATCGAAATTGGAAAGTACATGCAGATTGAATGAAACAGAAGTGATGGTATAAGACCGAGCTTGTATATCTTGCACTTCGCGTTGTACGCTCAAGATACCGCAAGGGGAGACCCCGCGTTCCGGGGAGTTGCTCTACCGAGAGCCGGCGGACGTGAAGGAAATCGGTCTCACCGGTCGAAAAAGCGCGTCCGCGATCGAGAGGAAAGAACCTCGTTCCTGATCTATCGCTCTAATAGCCGAGTTTTCCTACGCCGATTCATTCGCGCTCTTTCTCGGCCGCCGCGCGCCGCGACGCGAGCGGAGAGCTGCGAGCCGCGCGCCGCCGGCAGGACGACGCTCTTTCCCGCGGTTTCGCAAAGGCCCACGGGGGCCTGGCAGCGAGCGATCGCTTTCACGAGCCGCTCCGTGGCCGAGGTTAAACGTTCGGCCAGGCATGCGTGTCAACCTGGTCCGAAGTGGTCCGAAAGCGGCGAGTGTACGCGCGCGAGCGCTCGCGCGCGATTCGGTTAAAACGCAACAAAGCGATCTCTGCGCCGCATCAGTCGCGTTTGAAAAAGTCACTCGCTCGCTCGTTCGCTCGCTCGAAGCGTGAAGCGCTCGAAGAGCGAGAAAAACGAGAACGGGCGACGGGGGAGGGCTGCGCGCGGGATCGCGCGGAGGAGGGAGAGCTGACATGCTACGATGGGCCTGAAAACGAAAATAACGAAACGAAACAATGTCGTGCTGACGTAACCGTGAACTAGGGCGGAAACAATTGTGGCGGACAAGTGCGAAGCGCCGGAAGCGGCGTCTCGAGGCGGCCCGGCAATCAGAACGAAAAGGGTGGAGGAGGGGAGTACCTCTCGCGTGCGCCCGGAGCCCTGCTCCCTTTTCCTGTTGAATAATGAGCTCGGTAATGTTTGTAATTAAACACTTAAATGTGGAATTACAAACACATATCGTAGCTGAGCGATCACTGTGAAAGGCGAAAGAGACATCAGAATTAAGGGGAGAAATATGATAAAAAAGACAAGTTTATTTTTTGAATAATAATCAACTTTCGTTCGTTAGCATGATAGCCGTTGTTCTTCAAATCCACTTGAATTTAATCGTAATAGTGGCACGATGACGTTCTCCAATTTCCAAAATCCTTTTAGTCTCTTATCTCACGAGCATACTAAACGTGTTTCCCTAATAATTGTCCAAACGTAGTGCTACGAAACGAGCATAGCGTGGCTTCCAAGTAGGACCGTTTGCATAACTTCAGCATGCGCGACGGACGAAGGGGGCGTGCGGCCCGGGGCCCGGGGAAAGGGGGACAGATAATAACGGTAGCATTTTCTCAATTGTGTCATCGCTTCTGAAGCGTCGCGCGCGTTCCTTTTCTTCCTCGCATAAGCGTCTTACCCTGGCAAGAAGGTGGAGGACAAACGACACTGACGACGACGACGACATCGACGGCGAAAATAAGTGGAACGCGATGCCGGCCCATAGGTCTCGGCAATGCGCGCATCGGGACCACCAGGCCGCAGGAAGAGCTCGTTTCCAGGACAAACGAACCAGAAACGATTAATAATATGGCGTGCGTACGGGCAGAAAAAGCGAAAGTGGACAACGCGGCCGCGCGCGTCCCTTTAAACGCTCGCCGATTCGCCGATGTGACAGTCGGCTCGGCTGCGCGCCGAGCGACATATAAACCGCGACGATTGGGAAATTTTAGCCATCAATCCAAGCGAGGCGAGCCGAAACTGTTGTCTCGCAACGATCTGGCTGTAAAAAGCAACAGCTCGCAATAGCGATACATTTTAAACCGTTTAAAATTTATATACATACATGTATATATATATTTTTTTTATTTATATATTCTCTAAAATATCATTTTATAAAATTTCGTTCAAAATGAAATTTATCACTGCCGGAGAATATTCATCTTATTGTTAGAATAAAATTGAGACCACGCCATTCATTAGGACTGAGATATACAGAGATAATTTTTTTCATATGTTTCCCTCTATACAAAAGAGAGCAACAAAGAAACGTAGACGACAGAGTGGGGATCCGTTGTTCCCCATCCTCCGGTATACGAAAGCAACGAGCGCAGTGTCGGAATCACGTGGAATTGCACCATTTGGGCAATTAGCACGAGAACAGCAGGCCGCACGCGCCTCCGACCGTCGACCCCGCCACGCCTCTCCTCCCCCGCTCGCACGCCGAATGAATGAGACAACGAGAGTGTACGGTTACACGCTAACGACTCTGGCGTTGTACTTGTTACAAGTGTTACAATGCCGCTTGTTGCAGTGTCGCGCCGATAGTTTCCACAAGCCTTTCGTCTCTCCTCGCCGTTTTCCCTGGCACGTGGCTCGCATGATGATTCCAAGATACCGTTTGACGACGAATCTATAGCACGATATTATTTTTAACAAAAGCATCGCAAACTCGTAGGGAACGTACAACGAAAATTAATCCTAGAATCGGAAAATGTAGATCTGTGAAAGAATATTTCTCAGCATTTTTTAAAAAGTAATAAGTTCCGAAATTTAGCAATGCTGTAAAGAAAATATTTTTGCAGAAATATTTTCATTATAGCAAAATTTAATCCTTTTACTAAATCCTTTTCAAAGAACGCATGAGAACTTGAAATATTCTTTTACAAATCTACGTTTTTACGATTGTAGGATTAATTTTCGTTGTATGTTTTCTACTAATTTACGATGCTATTGTTATACATAGATACATTTCCATTTTTTTTTCCTATAATAGACATACCATGCCTAATTTCCTAATATTCCCAATGTTTGATATTTTACAAAGAAAATTTCGAGTTTTCGTGTATAATTAATAATTGAATTCTTTACTGAAAAATGATTTATTTGCGAGTCTTCAAGCGAAATATTTTTTCATACTTTTTTTAATATTACATGTCACGTAAATTCGACTCTCAATATATTAATTTTTAACGCGCGCGCGCGAGCGAACGCATTTCGCATGCAGTACATTAGTGCTAATTGGCTCGACCATGGTTCTTGTTGCAGTCTTTCTTCGGGCGCTCGTACAACAACCTGAACAGCATCGCCGATTGCAAGAACGACGGCAAGTGCGTGATAAATAAGAAGAATCGCACCGCGTGCAAATCTTGCCGTCTGAGAAAATGCATCTTCGTCGGCATGTCCAAGTCCGGCTCGCGATACGGTCGCAGGTCGAACTGGTTCAAAATTCACTGTCTGTTACAACAGCAGCAACAGCAAGAGCAGCAGCAGCAGCAGCTGGAGCAACAGATGCAACAGCAACAGCCGCTGCAGCAGCGTCAGCAGCATCAGCAGCAGCATTATCAGTCGGCTATTCTCATGTCGCATCAATTGTCGCAACAGCAGCGTAATCCGACTAGTTCGCCCATCCACGGCATTCACGGCAATCAGTGCAGGGACGAGACCCTGTTGATGAGCGCGGACGAATACAAGAACTCCAATTCGCCTAACATAAGCTCGCCCGAGTCCCACAATAGCGACAGCTCCGTCGACGTCTCCGAGAGGAGAGCGGCCTTCGCCGGACATCACAGCATCCGGCCGCTACCGCACTTGCCACCAGTCGATTTGTCCACCGCTCTGGGCCTACCAATGGGCTTTCCCCTTGGCGGCATGTCGCTTTTGCCGTCGGCCTTCCTGCCACCACCCGGCCTCACCATGTTTCCACCCTACGCTCACATATACGCGACGCCGCACAGCGCATCCCATCCCCTCATAGCGAATCATCCGTCCAGCATGCTGCAACGTTCGCCGCCGGCGACTACGAGCGACGAGAACGACGAGCCCGCGACCGCCACGACGTCGACCATGACAACGACCGTAGCCACGGCGACGCCGTTGAGAATCTCAACGACCGATGAGAAGGATTCCTACGAGAAGAACAACAATAACGATCGATTCTGCCTAGATATGGTTCTAAAGAGTGAGCAAACGCCGGAGAGACCGCGGAAGAGAATGCAACTTTCCGAAGATAACTCAACCGAGTGCAGTCCGGAACGGGAAGTCGCTTGCCCACCACCGCAAGATAATCCAATGGATCTCTCTATGAAAACTGTCGTGACACCCGTTAGCGAGCATTCGCAGACCGAGATAGACGATGAGATAGATAATGCCAGCGATACAGAAAACTCGGCCGCGAAGAAGCCGATAGATTTAACAAAAAGACCATAATCCTAAGACCATAATTCAAAAGGACAAGAATAATTGAGATGAAATGAAGATGTTCTTCTTTCCTCTCTAATGGACATCTGTTCCTATTGGAACAAAGTGTATAACGCTTTATTTAAATTTACCCGCATACTGTTGTTCGTCAGTTTTATTTGATTTCAAAAAACTGAAATGTTTTATAATAATAGATATTATTATTAACTTCACATGGAGAGTGCAAGGGAGAAGAAGAATCTTTTTTTTTATCTCGCTATTCTCTGGTTACAAGATCGCGTGTACACGAATAGCTTTCTCGTATCGTGATTGTCCTGTCGTTCATATATGCACAGGAACGCTGTGGATTAGCCTTCGAAAATGAAATACGCGCAATTCGAGATTAGAAATGGTACGCCATAGAACCAAATTTTTGCGTTTTTTTTTTCACGGCTTATCTCTAGTTTTAATCGAGCGCAATCGTCAATGTGCGCTAACAACGAAAATTATATTTTGATAAGTTCGATAGATGCAAAGTAGAAAAAGATTCGTTTATCGATTAAATCTTTAAGCAGCGAAATAAAATAGTTTATTACATTGATGAGGCCCTTGCGTCGGTATTTATGTTTATATTAGCGAGAAAGAGAATTTCATATTAATTTTCATATTAATTTTCATATTAATTTTATATATACTGAAATTGGCATTTAAAATGCGAACTAAGAAAAAGAGTTTTAAACACTGTGTTTTCCAACCTAATAGAAAAATTTTAATTTTCACAAATTTCTATATATACACAAATTCAAATATTTATACATATTTAGTTAGTATAATTTATGTATTTATATAGAAATTTGTGACTCAATTGTAATAATACTGACTAAACCTATGTAAAAGGACAAAACTACCATCCAATATTTTTATTTTTAGAATCATATGCAGAAATACATTTTTTAATTCAGTATGTATAAAATTTAATAGCGAATTTTAATATGCTTCATATTATTAGCGTATAATTTTTCCGTTAACCTTCTAAGTTGATTCAATGATTATCTCTAACATATATCGAACTTCGGCAATGTAGTATTGAGAAAATGGAGTTAAAAGTAGTGAGAAAATTTTGATTAAATGTATGTTCAGTTGGGACGTAAGTTGACACATACACACACAAATCGTTGTATATATCTATTCTACGTACAACACACAAGTATACGATTAGTTATAGACATATCTCGTGATTTATAGAAAAATTAATAAAATGCATATCGATTATATTTTATCGTTAGAATGTTTTTATGAATTTCATAAAGTGCCCAATAAATAAAAAAGCTGATCGAAAAAGCAGATTCATGATGAGCAAATTTCATTACACTTCTGTTGATTATTGCTCATGTATCGTGAATTTTGGTTTGCTCCCGTAAGTAGAGCGAAGAAAAAAATAAAAACATCGAGAGAGAGAGAGAGAGAGAGAGAGAGAGAGACAGATCTTTGATTTCCAAGATATGTAAAATCGCAAAACCAAATTGTATTTCACTCGCGTCATGTAAATGAATACATTTTTCCATGAAATAATTACACTTAAAAGTTTTTTCTTCAAATTAAAAAAAAAATTCATAAAAAACTATATTATTCTATAACATTTTCTAGATATAATAATTTAAAAAAAAATTTTTTTCATATTGATGTCAAATCAAAATTATAATTAATTGGATACTATATGTCATTATTTTTACTGTATAATTGTATTTTCTTTTTTGTGTTTTGAATCTTATATCAGGAAACGTGTATAGAATTCTAAAAATATTTTTTATACATTCTAATGTTAAAGCAATACATATTCGTGAGCGAAGTCATTGAAAAGATGAGACCTGTTTATTGACGATAGCCAAAGTAAAAAGATAATTGTATGCGAATTAAAAAAAAACTTGTACACTTGTTGTAACAAATAAATATTGTTTCACCAAATCATTACTATTGTCACAAAATTTTTGCGTAGTCTAAGTTAAATTCCGCTGACAAGTGACAGCTAATCGTATTAAAGAATCTTATTCTCAATTCAAATCGCAAAAATTGTAGATTTCATGAAAAATCAAGCTTAATAACAAAAAAAAATTTCAAGCAGAATATTAATCAGATGTATGGAAATACACTTTTGTTCTTGAGTTTCATTACAATTTGTACTAAAATATTATTATTTAGAGCTAAAATATGTCAGAAGAAAATTTAAGTCTTATATTCATTTACTTTAGAAAAATATTTAAAAAAATAGATTGTTTCATCTCTTTCAATAAAATCTCAAATATACATTAATATCAAAAATACAACAAAAACAGTAAAAAAAATGTTTTTAAAAAACAATGAAAAATTTTTATTTTTTCAACCATTTTTGAGTTCAAATTTGATTCACGTAAAGTATCCATGAGAGAAATTACATCGCAAACTCACAATCAGTGATATACAAAATGTAACTTTACAAGCTTTACAATAAAAACGCAATGCAATAAACTTTGGTACAATAACAAAATTAATAATTAAATTAAAATTAGCATCCCTAAACGTGTTTTTTAGATATTGCGAAAGCTAAAAATTTCCAATTTGTATTAATTTATAAAATAGAGTGATAACTTTTGTAACGTTAACTTATAATTTTTTGCTTTTTAGTCAAACAATGCAAAAATGTATATTTATATTATTAAAAAACATTAAACATATCTTTAGAAAAATTTTAATTAGTACTACTAGATACTTCTGTTTTTACACTGTAGCGTGCCAAATGAATACTGACGCAAGTTATTTATATAGCCGTCTGATAAATTGAAAATTATTTTTATATATCTGTGAAAGCATATATGTGACGCAGGACATAATATATATATGCAATATATAATGTAGTACCTATAATATATATTAATATACGTATACGTTTACGTGGGCATGTGTGTGTATGCGTGTTTAGTACGAAATTGTATTTCATGGGATAGAGATGTTAGATCTTGCACATATGTTACATTTGAAAGGTACAAATTTAAGGTAGCTCACTTTTCACTCTATGCATGGTCACGGGGGTTATGCAAACGTGAAGTAATGGGAGAGTGGAAGAGAAAAAATGGAAAAACAATAGCAAAGCAAAGTAAGATTCGAATGTAATAATGATGAGCATTGATGGCGGCATTAGTCATTAGTCATTAGATATAATGGCCATAATAAATTGTCACGATTTTTCGCGACATCGGCTACAAAGATCGACGCGAAATGAACGGATTAATATATAACGGTGGGATTAATCCGCGCATGTTTGTGTTATGAAAAGCTAGGAAAATGGATCGCATATAAACGAATATTTTCAAATGTGCAGTATTTCTAAACATTATTGCAATAAATAATGCAGACGAATAAATGCAAGTAAATCTTACATGAAAAGGACATGTAGCTGCGTACATGCGTTTGCAGAATCCAGTTTTAAACAAAAATGTACATAACTATCAAATGTAAATATAAATATGTTATAATTTTCTGCATTTCACATTTTATTTTGTATTTTACACATATATTTTATTATATTCTGATATGTGATATAAAAGCTCTTCAGTCTCCATGATGTCGGAGAATTCCATAAATCCCACGTTTCGCGCTCTTAATTCTAGAAAATCTATTCTACAGGGATAGCACACATAAAGTTCTATATTCATTCAACTTTACATTTTAACTGTGTAAGAAGAAATCTTTTCGTTGTGCTCATAATGCGAACACTCGCGAGCATGTGACTGACACAAAAAAGCGATGCAACGTTCTGAAATACGCACGTGATGTTGAATGGTCGCGTGAATGGCGTGTTTCGTAGCATCCCCTAATCATCCTCTCGCTCGCGTACGACCGAAATCTCGCGATCCATCTCGTTTCGCACGAGCCTAAGTGCGCGGAGCACGCGCGCTCTATTCGCACGGGCGCGAGCGAGCGTCGTGGAAGAAAAAAAAAATTTGCGACGGCCAACGTCTCAATTCCGAGGCGAGCGAGCCGCCGATCGATCCTCGCTTGCGCAACAACCAATCGTCTTTAACGAGATTCCGCCGTTTTAATTAACGAGCGCGCGAGCCAACATCGCTCCCTCGCTCGCTTGCTCGCTCGCTCATTCGTGGTAATCACGCGAGACGAAGATGAACGACGGAGGACGCGAGTGTTGTTTCGATGAGCACATCGCGATGCACACGTGTACGCACCAGTGTACAGGTATACGACGTCAGTAGCCGTTTTATCTTACAAACTCCTGCACACCACTGCCAATGCCGTTTCCGCCGCGACGGCGTTTTCTATGGCGCTCTCATCCTTTCGTGATACATTTGATAGTGAGAATTGAGAAAGAAGTATTCACGAGACGAAACTTCAAAGAAACAGTGTAGTTTTTTTTTATTCCATTATTTAAAATTTGTCTTTAAAATGACGGAACAGTCACGCGCGGCGCGTTTTAATAGACTACAATTTTAACATACAAGACATAAATCAAAACGATAAATCAAAACTGTAATTTATTTCGATTTCTATGAGAATCAACACACAGTTGAATTTTTAAAAGTAAACGAAATTCTTATTGATAATCATTACTAAAATGTTTTAAATGTTTATCTTTCAATTTTTTAAAATATATACAGTGGTTTATCTTTCTTGCATATTTGTGTTTCAATTTTATAAAATCTTATATAACTATGAAAATTGCATTAGCTTCAAACCTCGATTTTAATTTTAAATTTGAACAGCATGTGCTATCGCTTTCTTTACGATCGCGATAGTCATATTTAAGAATCCCTCATCAAGGCCTTATCTTCCGTAAATGAATCTGCGAGAAGTCATCGCGAACGTCGAGAATTTCGGGGAGACATTTTTTTTCTGCGTTTCGGTTCTGGATTCTCACAGCTGTCACGAGCGATTTTCGCCGTCGTTTTGTTCGGCAACGTAACCGCCGAACACAGCTTCGCTTTTAAGGCGGAGTTACGGTGCGATTTGTAGACCCGTTCACGACCAGTAGTGCCTTTCTGGAATTTAAGGCAGGCCGCACGAAGGACACACACAATCGCGATCCGGTAGACGAAAGAAATCGTTCGATTCGTGTAGCTCGTATCAGCCGTGTCGGGCAATCGATACTTTGAGATTTTCATCGGAGAAAATAGAGAGAGAAGTTGTGGTGACGATTGTACAGAGATTCTACAGTTATTTGTAAGATTTCAAAGAGTTAAAGTATCAAATTAAACATCAAAAATAAAATATACATATATTTAACTTTCATCTCGATAAAAATATTACTTAATATCTAATTATTAAGTTGTTTAACTTAATGATTAAAGGTCGAAAATTACAGATCTACGATGGTTATCACATATTCTCTCAAAGATAAAAAAAAAGTGATTTTAATTTTATTATAAAATCTGCAACTGTGGAATAACATATACTTTAATATTTTACGTAACTTGAACTATCATAAAAATAAAATTGCATCTTACTACAATTGATACAAAGTTTTACACAAAATATATATATATATATATATATATATATATATATATGTGTGTGTTCCCGAATAGATCTTCTAGAATTTTATGTCTTGCGAGTTAATTGCGTTCACAGATTAGATTAGGAGATATTATGAGTTCATGTATATAAAATTCGTAATGTTAAGATGTATCATCATCTTTTTTTACATTTGTTTAATCACCATTCCAGAGTCCCCTCTCGTGCTTCGATTATACAGTTGTATAATTGTAAGATGTATGTATAATTTTAATGACAAATTGCTTAGTTATTGTTAATCACTGTTGACATTGCGTTTCTTATTAAGCACTCCTTGTAGATCGAATGTAGTCAATAAAGGCCAGTACTAGCAGTTATAAGAAATCGTTTTATCCTGAACATGTTTACTGTTACATATTTATTTCACTATTTTAGTCAAACGTATATGTAATATGTAAATCTCGTTAACGTTACTAAACAGCGATGGGAACAATCTGTAAATAATCGGCATATTTTGTGGGAACGGGACCGGGGCCAGTAAGTACTTATTTGTATTATACATGATGTAAGTATTATATAGCAATAAAAAGAAATTATTTTTTATCACTTTGTAAGATATATAATATCCGTCTAAATAAAACACGTGTCCATTCCTTTAATTTTAGCAATAAACATTTTTCTTATGGAATTGACGAACACTTAAAGTAGTGACTTTTTTCTCCCAGAGTTTTTCAACTTTTCGTGAAACATTAAATAAATTACACCCTACCGTAATACGATTTTTCTTCTAACAATTTAAATATTTATATTAAAAAGTTGGAGAAAATAAAGTGCGATAATTCTACGACTATGTTCTACAATTAAAGATATATCTAACAGGAAAAAAATTATTAAACATTCCGATCTTTAAATGATGTTAAAATAGAAGGATTTAAAACCTATTTGTACAATTATATTATTGCGATATGATATTGCAAAACAAAATTATTGAAATAAACAATTATTAAGAATAAATAAAAGATAAGAAACATCTCGATATTACATAATTATAATATATAAAGAAACGTTTTTCAAATAAATATTAAACCAAAAAGTGATAAAAATTTCCGGATATCGTTTAGTTTGATAAAAAGAATGTATAGGATTATACTTTGTTGAAATATTAAATAGTCTTGGCCTGAAGTCAATACCGAGAATTGAGTCTCGCATTTTGATGTTAATGTATACGCGAATTCACGACGAAAAACACGAGAATATATGGTCGGCCAAACTGAATTTACAAACGTAACTGTTTAACGTCATAATGTCAGATGACAGATGGCCGCATATAGTCATAATACTTCGATATGAATATTCAAATAGTACATATGTGTATGTATGCCAAGAATATTCGAATGATCTCACGAATACGTTCTCACTGCTTATACTTACGTATGACGTGCTTTTCATAATGTTCTGTTTGGCTAACATATAAATTGTCCATTACGTGTAGTTCGTCTATCGGGTGTCTTTCGACTATCGAGTCAAATGAGTATCATAAGTATTGAAAAAGCTTGATATTTATTCGAGAGATTATTACAAAAAATATAAGTATATAAGATATAATTACAAAGAGTAAGAAATAATCAGTCTTTGCTTATACCATTGTTTTTTAAGTGATATGTATGAATGTGGGAGTACGATTTATGTGACGAATGAATTGCCATTACTTCTCGATTGTATAATATGAAATAATTCCCGTGAATAGAGGGTAAATCACTATAATGCAGATTATTTATTACGAGAAAAGCGACGTATATGCAATACGATAGTTCTATCACGGTAATTAACTTAGTGATTGGATTTGGGAGCAGGATGACTTGGGGTGAAAACCTCGTAGTCGATCACCGAGAAGTGATAGTCTCCCATGAGCAACTGATTAGACGCGTGGTCCCCGTCGTAACTATGCGGGAGATTGCTGTAGCTCTCCTTATTGACATTGCAGTTGCTTGATATAAGCAGATCAGCCCCGGCACCAAAGATCGGCCCTATGCTGTAACAATTATATTAAATCGAATTACCTCGAGAACACGGGTGATCCTGAGACGATCTTCTGTACAAATCGCGGCGGTTCTTACTCCGGATGATAGCAAATCGCGAATGATTTCTTCACGATGTCGAATTTCGTCGGCGGTACGTCCTGGTTGTTTGTCAACGTGAAAAGGAAACTCTTTTCCGAGGCGATGTACTGCGCCTTCGAGTTTGTTTTACCCCATGGAACGTCGCTGAATCCTCCACATATTTCACCGCGCACTCCCTGAGGGATAAAACGCGCGCTTTGAAGTTGGTACAAAAATATCTAGTTGAAAATGTTATACTCACCAGCACTATTACGTACGTCGGGCAAACGTTATCGCAGTGCCGATGAAAAGACGCTGCTGAGTAGCCATGAGTAGATGCTCTGAAAACAATGAATTACGATTAGTGATTTATACGAGATATACATATGTGTGATACATCCTGCGTGTTATTGCAGTGTACTTTAATAAGATAAAGAAAGGCTCTATACAATGATAAAATTAATAAATAAATAAGATATGAGCTATGAGCCAGAGCTGGTTATTTAATGCTCTAATATAGTGAGTTAAAGTACAATAAAAATATTTATTTATTAATTTTGTCAATATACTTTAGATTATGTTTTTTACATTTTTATTAGCATCGGCATTTTCTGTACAATTTCTACAATAATGTAATTAATAATTGACAGCTGTGTACAGCTGGAAGAGAATATCAAAGCCGAAATTGTCGAGAGATCAAAATGAATTTATATGCTATTGTTACTGATTACGCTATTATCTCTATTTCACTTTTAAAACATTTTCTACTTATATATTTTGAAACCTACCGATAGACTAATCGCCAGCCCTGTTTGGACACGCCGTACCACTGATTTAGGACCCGCTGGAAACCGACCTTGTCCCTGGAGAGGATCTGCGAGCCTGGGAAGAGAAACGGGCTCACTCGCGGCTGCAGTCGCTTGTCGGAGCAGACCTCCGAGTACTTGTTCGGCAGAGCTGCATACCTATACCTAAAGCGAAACGTCGAGATCGAAGGCGATACCGCCAAACGGTGAGTGCCGCCCCGTTAGATCGTACCTTAGAAATTTCGAGCCGCTCGATCGATCGGGATTGAAAAATTCGTACCTCTCCAACGACATCTCTATCGGCACCGCACCGGTCGGCTCTACCTCCTCCGCGAACACCTGGCTGTCGATCAACAGCAGCCGTACGTGATTTATTACGCCGGACAGGTGCTGACACACCCTCATGCGTTCTTCCTCCGTCCAGTGCTGTGTGGGCTGCGTAACTCCTGCCTAGAAGTATCATTTATTAATTAACAATGGAGAAAATTTGCCCAACTTCCAATAAATGAATTTGGAGCACTTTCGACAAAAATAGGACTCATAAAATAAGCGAACCTGATATTTGGCCCAGTTCAAAACCGCCCGCCATACATCCTCTTCTTCCAAACCGAGATAATCCGACGATATCAATTTTACTAAAGCGTCCTTTGGAAGATTGCAGAATGCCGTCGTCTTTACTGTATCCATGGCATTCTCGCCGATAAAAGCGAAACATTTCTCGATAAACGATGAGCAAGCAGCTTTGCCGCCTGAAAAACAAGAATAAACAATAGAAAAAGTGAGAAAAATAATTTTAATCTAGGAGTTTATTATTCAGAAATATTACTTCAAATTAAATAAGATTTGAATAATCACCTGTCAAAAATTACAGAGAAATATAACTATACTTAATTTTATCGACCTTGTTTATAGTTATGTATAATATTTAGAATAGTATAAATATCGAAGCAAATTCATAATCTTTGGAATAAATCAAATGCTAAATATTTTTCAGAATCGTTTTAAATTTAATGATTGACAAATTTATTTTTCTTTAAAATTTTTTTTAAGTATTTAAAAATATTTGCACTTATTTACATTTAAAGATTAATCTCAATAAGTAAATAAATGATAAATATTATTTATAGTTTCTTGTATTAAAAATATATATGTATTTTGTAGTTACTAAAAATGGTCTTTATTAAATTACTTTATGTTTAAACGTTTTCATAGACATACGTAATCACATTATCTCAGTACTTTTCTGCCTAATCACATTTTATAAACATCTGGATGTTACAAATAAAAAATAAAGATAACGTTTTAGAATACGAAACTATTTTAATAATTGTTCGCATACATTCTGATTTTCCTGTTCATCCTTCCACATACACATTCAGAATTGGTCACAAAAGTTATAATACGATGTACGAAAATTGATAGAGCTGTGCTTTTAGACAGCACTCACAGAATACGACTACATATTACTAGAACTACAGATTCATACGCAAAAATTAAATCAGGATGCTCGTTTAAAATATTGAGTGATCCTTTTCTCACAACAGAATTTAATCGCATCTCGCATTCGTCAAAGACTCACATAGCCGAAGTTTGTACCTAGGCAACAAATACAAATCTCCATTGATACATTCATGAATCACGCGATACATTTCTTTTCGCATGTCTGACGAGTTAACGACGAGTCTCGCGTTCAACGACCTCCCTGAGAGAGCTTCTACAGTCCAAGTCCAAAAACACAATCCAAGAGGAGACCCCCCGAGTCCGGAGCCGGTCTTACCCGGCGCCCGCCAAGACAGACGCCAGGTTGAGGTTATGTTTCCTCCTTTAGTTCACCGTGGGATTGGTGTTCTGGATCAGAGTGATATTGTCGCCCTTCAGCATGATCCGTCCGAGCGGCTTCCTGTTCTTCGTCTTCTGGTGGTACTCCTCGGCCTCGTCCAGCACCAGGTTCATGTACTCGTCGAAGCCGACGATGTGCCCCTCGATACGCAGGTTAACGTTCTCGAACAGCCAGACTTGCACGCGCGAGCGGTTTTGCAGGTAGCGAAATATCAGGTTGATGGGCTGCACCATCACCTTCTGGACTTTTTGCGGCCCCTTGTACGACATTTTCGTGCCGGTGTTTAAAAATTGACAAAACGAGCGGCGAGCAAATGTACTCCGCAAGCGTGCTTCGTGAGCGACGACAGAAAGAATATGGCGCGTATGCCGGTATGCTCCGAGTGCTCCGACGCCTATCGAAGGAATACCAATATAACAATGATGCCAATGATGCCAATGTAAGTGTGCTATTCGACCCTAACCACGCTCGATTTCACAACGATGCATTACCGGGCATGAATTCCTCTGTGTTTTTACATATATCTATTTGCGAATAATAATTATATAATAATTTAAGTTACAAATTGCAAATAAATTAATTTATTCAACAAAATTTATCGACCGCAGACGTCCACAGTTGGTATATATTTCGATGATATCTTCTGTTACCTACATCTCACTGCGTGTAATGTTATTCAAGTAGTGATTTGTGCTCTCGTCAGATAGCGCCTCATAATACCAAGATGTGAAAGTCGTATTGCATCGTTCTCGGTACGTATAAATACGATACAAATAGTCTCATATTCACTCGGCACTTGTAACTCGAATGACGTAACTCTACATCTTCTTGTCGCGCTTATTCAGGTAAAACGCGCACTCATGTCCTCTCTTTTCACCTCTCTTATAGTCAATTTTCAGATTCGAATGTACGTACAATACAACGCCGCGCGCGCGCGCCCGCCCGGCAGCCATGGCCCACGACAGTTTCGTCGACGCGTCGGGTTCGGAAGACGGAGTACGAACGCTCCGTAATTGATCGTGAATTTAATCCGCTAAAAGTGGATAACAAGCGCGAATTTTCGTCGGAAATGTCGATTAAAGCGACGGACGATCGCCGGAGTGTATTAGTCGTCGTGGATCTCTGCGGTCAATGCCGTTTCATCGGGCCGGTGGTTGTGTATTCGGCAGTGATCGCGAAATCGCTACAGTTTCGGTGAGTATACAGATCCCGAATATTCCGATGCGATTGATACGAAGATATATTTTCCTTCGATAAAATCCAAACTGAATTAATTGATCGAGAAAATAATGTAGAAACACCGACAAAATTGCATGAGAAATTGGCACGCTTCAAATATTAAATGTATTATATATGTATATTAAAAAAATTAAATTAATTATAATTATTATTTCGCACTGTTAACATTTAATAGAAAATGCACAAAATATATTATATCACGTTGACGGATGACGTCGATGTGCGGAAGGCTCGTCAAGCGAACTCCATGCGACCGTAGTATTATTTACTTTTACAATAAATTTTCTATATAATATCATAGATTTTTTGCACATTATATACATAATTAATTAAAATATTTAATACATATATTATGATGAACACAGTGAAGGCAATCATTCTTTATCGCGATCATTGTCTAATTACTCTGTAGATTAGAACCCTTTTGATTAGAAGCGTAATTTATATTGTAATTGCATTAAATGCTAGTAATATCGTATTTTCTATAGAATCGTACATGAATGAGTTAATTAAAATACCCGATATAATAATTGGCAGTGATTGCGATCATCATTTTCTGCATTATCCGCGATCAATTCTTTTATAAGTCAAATTTAAACAGTTAATTGTGCTTATTTGTGTTTGCTGTAATCATATTGTATTTCTTAAATAATTATGTGCGTAGGTCTATTAAAATCGTTTTTTATATATTTAATAAATTTTTATACAGATTGAAATACACGATAGTATCTGCGATCATTTTTCAAGATTACTGTAGTTAATACTACGGTTGCTATGATTATAAAAATTATTTGTTATTATATTAATATATTTTAAACTGAGTTAATGAATTGTCGGGAATAAATATCTCGTGTATACTTGGTGCGCGTTTATTATTAATTAGTCTAATAAGAAATTTGCTACGTGAAACATCGTGTACAATCGTTATTCGGAATCAGTGATCCATTTCTCTGTGCTGAAAAGTACTCAGTATATTTTTTAAACTTTCATCAAAGTGCAATGTAAGTGCTTTACATAATCGTGCGATCGCGTACGTGCAATTTTTATCTTTTAATTAATTTTGTCAATTATATTTTTCCTAGTATTTAATGATAGTAGATAAGCGAACGAGCCATACTACGAAACATTTTAAGTAATATTTTTTAATCTTTATGTTGACCCATAGCACAAAGATCCAGATAACACAAAGAGTTCAAAAAGAATTCAATCGTACGTCATCAATTCTGAATTAATTTTCAAACAGAATTTTTTTTCCAGAAATTCTGAAAAAGAATTTTTTTGCACCTGAAATGAATTAAAAACGAATATACAAATGAATTATTTTTTTATCTCTCCGTGCTATCTTATAGGAATAATTCTATATTCGATTTTATAAACATAACGCATATGCAGTGCACAGAAAAAAACAATTTTTTTTTATTAAATATTTTATGATCATTTTAATTAATGTGCACTTCAAATTCATATTTTTTTCTTTCATATGATTAGATTGGATGCTGTGCTCTGTATCTCGCTGCCAGAAATGTACGTAGACAATGAAACACGACAAGAAGAATTCTTCGTCGAGTGAGTAAAATTACTTATTACATACAATATTTTTCGTATACATGCATTATGATAATGCAATTAGAAAATCGAAAGTGCGGCAATCGAAAATGATGCGGCATAGATATTATTGCATTGTAAAATATAAGTATATTTTTAAATCTAAATACCTGGAACTCGTTCTTGGGCCTCCAAAGCGGCGGTTAAAAGTGCACATGCGTTTCCGGGGCTTAAAGTAACAGACACGTGTTCTTCACAACTTCTCCAAAGTTCTTCTATTCCAAGTTCTTGCGCTAGGCCCAACATTTCGAAAATCCCACTATCTTGTAGTATTATCTGCAACCATAAAAAGAAATTTGTGAAAAGGAAATTATCGCTTGTTTTGTACAGTAAAATAGATTTATTAAGCTTTGTCACAAGGTATACATATACCATTTAAGAGCGTGTGTAAAGTTGACACTTCAACATTAAAATTCCCGTTTCATTTTGAATAGATTAATTTAGAATTTAGACGTTCTTTAAAATTTCTAAAATTGTTTTTTCCATCTCTTCCACTTTTTTGATAAGAATAATTTTTCAATCAAAGGAGAAAGATTGAGGAGAGCACTCTGGTAGAAATATATTGAATGACAAGACAATGTTGCAAGATTATATATCTGTGCTGACTAAATATAAAAAGCTATTAAATTACACAACTTATGCTTACCATACCGGTGTAGATGTAACGAATAAACTGACGGAACGTTTCCGGATGCGCATGCGGCATTCGTACCGGTGTTGGATTACCTGCTGTGCCGATCCTCTTGGCGGCCGTGAAATTTTTACATCTGCGAAATAATTATTGACAATTTGGCTGTTGAAATGACGTATATATCGCATCGAAGTTTTGAATAATATACTCTTAGACCGGTATTCATAATCGGTTCTTATTTCAAGACCGTCTTAAGTAATATATGTCTTAAGATGTTTATACGGTTCTACTCGTATGATTGGCTTATGACACTTTAAAATTATACTTGTACATATCTATAACAATCGACTATGAATACCGGCCTTAGCAGCGTATTTTTCTTAAAACAGACGAGCGCGTCTGTTCGTCATTGTTGTGCATGTTACTTTTCACGCGACGCTTCGCGTAACAAAAGGGCTTAATTGACTTCGTCATGAAACTATTGAGACATACGAAACCGAGGTACAGCGACGGTAGAAGTGTGCTCTCTTCCCCTATCCTTAGAAATTAATGGCAACCTTCAGAAGCACCCTCACGCGTCGTGTCCCTCTGCGTTAGGATGGTGACAAGATAGTGGACGAGAATGCGAAGATGGATCAAGAGAAACCCATTCTGTCGTTCATTAACTGTTCGATCTAGACCCTTCGAATACGAGAAATTGCGTTATTGCAATAAACGCGAAAATATGCGTATGTTGAAATAGATGGCCAAACTTTGGCAATATATTCTGCTCATCTTGAGCCAAATTCTTTCTCAAGAATGCAATTTTATGAGATTGTTGTTTTACCGATGTTTTAATTATTATTTAAAACTAAAAGAGAGTTTCCCTCTAAATATGAATAGGTTATTTGTATGTCATACTGGTAAATACTAAATATTGAGTTTCTCTATCATTTTCAATATTATTATTTTCAATATTGAACTACGTGAAATGGAACCGCACATAACAGATTCAATTTCAAATATTGATATCGCATTTAAAATTCTAATGTATAATGCAGAAGCGAATTTGTTTTATACTCGTTATTCTAATCGAGAAGCATAATATCGCAAAAATAAATAGACACGAAGACCGACGTATAATTAGATAAAACTCGAATAAACGTTGTGCCTAGAAAAACACAGTTCGACATCTTAATAGTATCCTGCTCGATACATCGAACTGAAATTGGATTTAAGATGTGGAGGGTTTTGTAGTAACGAGAAAGAATGAGAAGTGAAGTTACAAGTGCCAGTCGACAGACGAGCGTAAATTGATTCGTTTTTCAATCGGCTCAGACAGGCTTTGTTTTTATTCCGCGTAGTCTTAACAGCGTTAATTAGTTTTACCAGACAGTTCTCTAGAAAGAAAAAGAAAACCAATGATAATTTATGCTTTCAATAACGACGCTTGAAAGTTAAATCCGTTAATAGCCCTTACATTTTCTTCGTCTGTTATTCCGCGAACACTCGCCGTCGCAAGCATTTTCTTTATGAAAGTTACCTCCCTATGTAGCAATTTTTCTTTTCACAAAGAGGGCTTTGTAAGATTATCTAGCTAACATTGATTTCAGATTTATTTTTTTTAATTTTTATTATATATTTATGATTTTATGAATTTATGTTGTGCAATTTAATATTCTTTCGTGAGAAAAAATATAAGTAAAAATACAGTAATCTTATTAAGAAGTAAATTTTATTAAGAAATACCATTACTGATATATCCGTATTACAAATTAATACATTGTAATGTACCTAACTTACTGTTTTGCAGTTAAAGCAAAATAATATATTTTTAGTAAATACTTTTGTTATTGCAGGATTATTGCACATAGAAAAATAATTTTATTATAGCAAAAACTCAACACAACTAATTTCAGAAATTTTATTATTATAACGG